CTTCTGCTGACTGTAGGCAGTCGTACCGTCGACTCAGTGCAGTTGCACTGAGGTCCTACCTGTTGACCTTGCCACTTGTCTTCGTCTGAAAACGTGGGCCTACCTTAGACTCACCACTTGACCACTTGCCGACCTTCTAGAAGGACTACAGCTAGGCCTCTGAACTCTACTTGGACTCCTACCTTACAGGTCTACAGTTCGAATCTCCCTACAGCCTACAGCCTACGACGACCTACTTACCACTGGCTATCGTGCAGGTCACGGGTTCAACTCCAGGGAACTGTGCAGATACTGTACACAGGTAAGCTGAGGTCAAGGGATCGACCCCTGGGATCTGCATCGGCTACTGCCAAAGGTGAAAACTGTTTCAATATGTTCGTGAAACTTGTTTCATGCGCTATACCTCCCCCTCACCGGGCTCACCTTTCTATTTCCTGCCGCCTGATTTCCCCATCTGCATTTCGAGCTGTTTGCGCATGCCAGCAGATCAAAGAGATTGTTCCATATTTTCGTCATGAGGTGTCAGTAACAGATTCGTTGGTAATGGATACATCTCGGGATCCTCAAGTGTTGGACATCTTGGAATCATCCATGGACATGTTATAGGCCTCTCTCGGAGTGAGGGCATACCAATCATGCATGAGATTTTACTAGACAACGTGGCCACTCTGCTGAAGGGCTGAATTGATTGTGTGAAAGAGGGGGAGCTGGAGATTCTCTTATCCCAATGTGAAATCTTGGCGAATTTGTCCTAGTGGTTCGCCATATGGCACTTCTGTCGTCTCCGTATGGGAGAAGAACAAGGACCATGTCGTTGCATTGATTAATCAACCTCCACCGTCACATTGATTTCTCCAAGCTTAATGCTGAGATTGTGTAAAACGCAGGTGCCCTCCCTTGCAAAGACGATGTTCTCGAGTGGTTGGGTGTTGCACAATACTTCTCTAAATTGGACCTGGAGCTTGACCACCATCAGATTCATATCCACCTGCAAGACTGTCATTAATCCATAGTCAGACACGGTATGGCATTTTGGGTAGGTTTTTAGCTTTTTACGTCATTCAGATTCACCAATCCCCCGAGGACTTTCAAAGGCTTGATGGCACGACTTCCTGCTGTTTTAGATTGGTTTGTATTGATCTATTTGGACGACATCATGGTCTACAGCTGTACATTGGAGGAGCACTTGGAATATCTCCGTTTTGCCCGGTCAAGTACAACGCCGACTTCGATAATTTGCTGAGCAAGAGCTCGAGTACTTAGGCAATGTTGTCATGCCCACGGGCAGTCACCCTTTAGAGGACAAGGTCTACGTTGATTGGAACGGGCCTGAGCCGGCGAATGTCATTGACAAACGCTCCTTTCTCATCTCGACAGGCTATCATCACCGCTTCATCCACAACTACATGAAGATTGACGCGACCTTGTTTCATCTCGTACACAAGGATAACCCTTAGAGATTGGAGATGGCACCCACATAGCTTTCTAGGTTGCAAGAGCAATGATTTTGGCAACATCTACTTTTGAACATTTGTGATATCACCTGCCCTACCTCTGTCAGCACGGAGTTAGGCAAGCTTCTTCTTCTTCTTCTTCCTTCCCACATTTGCCTCTTCTCCCCACTTCCGTCATCCGTGGTTCTTCTCCCCACTTCCGTCATCCACACACAGCTCCAGGTCTGGTTCGGATGGTGTCTGGGTCACGTAACCATGACAGAGAACAGAAAGCAGTGTCCTCTCGCCTGTCTTTCTGCTCAATGCTTACTATCTGCACAGATGCTAATGACTGCATGATTCGACTACTACTTTCCAGCTGAAAGTTTGAACACATCCCTCATGAAGTTATGAATAGGATTACTCAAACATCCGAAGTTAGTGCAAACTGCAATTTAGAGACGCTAATCATCATAACAAGAGTGCAATGAAGTAAAGGGAAAGGCAAATGAAGGCAGGAGATAAACAGCTTACTTATAGGAAAATTCCATGGCCCAATTACCAGTACAACACCTAGAGGCTCAGAAACAACCTCACACTTGGAAGGGTGTACTAGCGGTCCTCCGTTCACCTGCCGTTCACAGGACACAAAACAAATAAAAAAGTTCAAAAAACTGATGAAATCATATTCCAAAAAACTTTCATGACTGAGATGCCAGGTCTTTAGGACATCCACTAAATTGGAATGCCAAAAGCGAGAATATTACCATGGCTTCTGCACAAGGATGATACCAATTGCAGTGAATGCAATGCATTGCACAGTTCCATGACACACAAATTCGCACCAGCTCACGCATGAGATGAGACCAACACGCAAGCTATGAGAATTCGAAGATGTCCGAGATCAGAGTCTTAAACAACAGGATGCATGTATGTACACTGAAAGCTTGAAAGCTTGACCACACAAGACTGCAACAGCGCTCACTTGATATCTCCTTCTCTCTCTCTAAGCTATGGCATCGGGTGCTGTTGACTTCACTACTCTCCAGCCTCACTTGAAAGCTTGACCACACAAGACTGCAACAGCGCTTCCAGACAGTTGGTGCTTTGCAGCTCCCGGCCTTTCGTAATTTGTTGCAGTTCCCAATCTTGGACTCCCCCGCCTCCCTCCTTTGCTGTTCACAGTCAGCCTTCTATGCATCCAGAAGTCTGCTGACTTTCCTGGGACTGAGCTGCCGACTGGACTGAACAGTGGAAGTCAGGTGGTGTCCTGACCCTGAGGAGACGGCCGTGTCAGTAACGGGCTTCAGGGTACAACAGTGCTATTCTGTTTGAAAGCACAAGATGAGTGCTTGAGTGATGTCGAATATTTGTTGATGCATTTAAAATATTGTCGGATGATTGTTGATGACTTCAACTACAAAGTACATTGTGCTTTGTGTGAATTATTTGTATTTCTTCCCGACTTTGCACCTGGTAACCTTCAAAGGCGATTAGGTGGTTGGAAGAGGAGTGACACCCTGATCAAGTGCAGTTGAAGACGAGAGGGTTTCAAGTCTTTCAACATCATGTCGACAAGTAATCAGAAGCGAGGCAGGAGTGACCTACCAAGTTAAAACCGTTCTGGAGGGGTGCGGAGGAAGAACAGGCCACTTTAAGAGTAAGTGTGGAAGATTCTGACCGGGGCTGAGCGAGATGAGAGATGAAGGTCCGAGCGGACCTCCAATGGTTCGAGGTAGAAGACCAAACCTTGAGATACGAGGTCCTCTGACGTTACCAAACCAAGGGAGATGGGAGCAGATGAGGCCATCTTCATCAATGGAAGGCACACCAGTGGTACATTGGACTGGTGAATCCTGGGGCCCCGTGAAGGAATTGGTTTTGTTGCTACTGTTAAAAGAGGAGGCAAAGGCAGCTAAATGGAAAGAGGAAGAACATGAAAAGGAGGCGAGGAGGCAAGAAAAGCAAGAATGAAAGAAAAGGGAGAGGCTGGAAAACGGGATGAGAATGGTCAGAATCGTAGATATCGAGATGTCAAGACAACGGAGGGTGATGAAGGAGGGAATTGGGAGAGATGTAACACTGTGCATCGGAAGAAGAGAAAGTAGCCACAGGCAGTGGCATCCTCGGTAAGTGAGTTTTGCACCTATTGAAGGTTCGACTGATGAAGAACTTGAACTCATCTTTGAAAGGACGAAAGAGCTCAAGTGGTTGTTACATGAAGCGTGAACCAAACGCAGAACATGAAATTAAGTCAAGCCCTTCATCCCTAATTAAGAATCGTTGTTTTTTTCCCAATTTATCTTCATTTCTGAAGCCAGTCTAGCAGTTTTATTTGGTTGTCTCCATATGTGTGCTTTTTATTATATTTTGTTTGATGCCTGTTTGATGATGTATGTATGGATTGCCTTCCAACAGGACATAGACTTTGCATGAAACCCACGTCTGGCATGGGACCAGAGGTGAATGGGGTGACTCGTTTCTGTGGAAGGTGGTTCCTCCCGAAGGAAGTCAGGATCGTCACATGTTGTCTTAATAGGTATGAGTGCGGTTGTCTTGCTAACCTTGATAGGTTCAGTAAGGTGCAAGCGCTGGAATCAGAGAGGGTTGCGGTGAGGCTTGATCTCTAGAGCGGGGCTCTGGAGTCAAGATGTTATCTCATGAGGATTACACCGCCTCTCTGTACAATATGCTTCACTTAAAGTTGAAGGAGTAACAGTTGTATCATGTTATTTACTCATTGTTAGTCCTATTCTTGCCTTGTAGTTCTGAGAGTTATCTTGTTGCATAACTGGCGGGTGAGTCAAATTCATGCTATTGTTTCTAAGGCATACCGTGTTTTTCAGCTACAACCCTAACAAACAATTTGTGCTTATCATGTTGTGAATTAATATTGTGAGTGTATGCTATCTATCATGGGTTGTACTGCATTTTGGATTCATGCTTGGAGTACCTTCCTTGATAGTAGAAGTGATAATTGGCTAATGCCTGAGTTATGATGTGAAGGTTTTATCAAGTAAATATTTATGTTTTATTTTAGGTGGATATTTGTTTAATAAAACTCTCTTCGGTATCGTCGTTGTTCTGAATCGGTTCTCATGCGCGCTCACATGATGAGTGTCGGAATAATTTTAGTGGGATATGTTCTATATTTAACTTAGTTGAGTAACCTCTTTCGAGTCTCGACCCTAAGACCACTCATTGTTTGCTCAACAGGGGATGGGGTCGAGGGAGCTGAGATGGAAGGCTCTCAAGGGACGATTGGGGTCGAGGAACTTGCCTATCTGCTGGATTTGGGGGAATAGGAGCGAGACAAACTACCCAAGGTTGAGGTCAAATTCTTCAGGGGCTATCGTGTTTTCGACTTCCTTGATAAGTCCAGGCAGCAAGTGGAATGAGGAGCGGATGCTAGAAGAGGTTATAAAGTATATCCATATAGACTTGAAGGAGGAAGTCGGTGGGTTAATTAAAAAAGCGGGATCATCATGGAGTAAGTTTCATAATGTCATGTGAGAAACATACCAGCTAGGTGAGGAAAAACTCACCAAGGATGATCTTGAGAAGATAGATCGGTTCAATTATATGTCAGTGGGGCAATTTCTGGCAGAATATGAATGTGTTTCCCGCAAAGTTTGGGCACTGTTTGAATATGACAAGTGTTTTGTCTTCCTTATGAACTTTTCGAATGCAGAGCGGCAAGATCTAATTCGTGGGACAGAAGGAAGGCTTATATGAGACAAAATCCGAGATAATTTTGTACAAGGGGATTTCGATCAGCACCTTTGTCATACTCTGCATGAAGCAAGAAAAATTCTGAAAAAGAAAGGACTCGCAAGATTGTGAGAAAAGCGAGCATGGTAGAATGACAAGTGTTTTTGCAGTTGGCACCTCTGAGGGTATGAAAAGTGGACTTCAAAAGGACACTAAGGTGACCGAGCGGAATCATAAATGGGGTGAAGGGCAGAAAGAGGAGCCATGGGTTGAGAGAAAGGAGGTGCAGACTAGAGTGAGGGATGTCGTGACTCTTACCTGTGAAAGGACGATTGACGTCACAAGCAGGAAGAGAAAAGAAAAGCAAGGGAGCCACAAAGAAGCTGGTATAGCCCTACCTCTCGCTACATCTCATCCTAAAAAGGAGTGTGATGGCAATGAGGCATCATCAACTGTTAGTTGGACAGGGCGAAAGAATAGCAGGCGGCGAGAACACTAGTCGAAGACTGTATGTGGTTGTTGTGGGAAAGTCAGTCATACTCCTCGCAAATGCAAGAGAGTGAAAATAGAAAAGAAGAAGGAGATGGTTTGCCCTAGATAAAGGTCAATTTTTCTCCTAATAGTTACCATCATTTCACTTATCTCATCCATGGCAAGAAGAAATAAAGTTGCGTCAGTAGTTTCTGGCGACTTACAGATAGACGTTTGGAGGGTGATGACGGTACAAAAGACTCAATTGCTAGACAGATAGGCGATTATTTTTTTCTGCATTGCCGTTAAGGCTGAGTCTGTGAGCTTTCCGATAATGGGATCCACATTTAATTCTGATTTCGAATGTGGGTCATGATTTTTTTGGATTGTGCGAACGTACTGGATCAGACTATCCACTTTCTAAGCTTTGTTTCAGTTTTGGTAGGATACAAGTGGAAGGCTACCATGGATAGGTTGTCCGTACATTTAATGCTCAATTACCTCCACAAAAACATTTGGGATCATTTTGTGTGTATCAATCAATTATGATCTGTAAGGGTATGCTATACAAGATCATTTGTGTTTGATTGAGCCCTTGATTGGTGATGGTTTGAGATTTGTGATAATTTGAAACTTGAGATAGTTTGGATTTCTTTTGGGAATCATTTTTGTATGGGTTTTGATCCCCTCAGATTGCAAATTCGTGCGCGTCCTGGTTGTCATTATCACTCTCACCATTGTGACTTTGTGGGTTTTTCTATGTTTTATGTTAATTGACATATGGGAAATAAAGGTTAAAAGTGTGGAAGAGAAATGTGACAAATTTTGAATAAAGAGTGTCTAAACCAAAAAGGGTTCGATGAAGTGAAGAAAACGTGATTATCAGTGAGATATTTCTGGGAGACTCAAAGAGTCCAGAAATTATATTGAGTCATAAATGAGAGAGAGGTCATGCCTGAGGGCGGCCTAAGTAGTTATTTTTTTGGAAAAAAAAGATTTATTAAGATTATTTATTCTCCGCCAGAATCAACGACTCCATAGTGTTGGTTCTCACTGCCGGTGCGGGCGTCGTCTGCGGTACGGAAACCCGCCTGATTCTGGGACCCCTCATGACTGGCCTTTCGTTATGAGTCACAGATGGTTTTGTGTGCGCAAGAGGGTAAGGTAAGAGTTTTTATCCTCCGCCAGAATCGGCAACTCCATTCTGTTGGTTCTCAGCTGCCGGTGGGGGCGTCGTCTGTGGCAGAGAAACCCGCCTGATTCTGGGACCCGTCATGATTGGCCTTTGGTTGTGAGTCACATATGGTTTTGTGTGCGACAGAGGGTAAGGTAAGAGTTTTTATCCTCCGCCAGAATCGGCAACTCCATTCTGATGGTTCTTAGCTGTCGGTGGGGGCGTCGTCTGCGGCAGGGAAACCCGCCTGGTTCTGGGACCCCCCATGATTGACC